GGGGGCGGGGGGTCAGTCCTGGGGCTTGAACTCTAGGCCTGAGCGCTGTCCCTCAGCTCTTCAGCTCAAGGAGAGTGCTCTACCACTTGAGCTACAGCGCCACTTCCAGTTTTCTGGTGGTTTATTGGAGATAAGAGTTTCATGGACTTTCCTGCCCTTTCCTGCCCGGGCTGGCTTTGAACCTCGATCCTCACATCTCAGCCTCCTGAGTAGCTAGGATTATAGGCGTGAGCCGCCGGCACCCGGCTTGGATTTTTTTTTTTCTTCAAATACTGGAGATTGAACTTAGGGCCTACTGCTTGCTTGGTAGATATTCTGCCACTTGAGCCATTCTCCCAGCCCATTTTTGTATTTTGTTTTCAATATAGGGTCTTGCTTTATGCTCAGGCCTGCCTTGGCTATAATCCTCCTACTGTGCTTCCTTGTCATTGATGGAGATGATAGGTGTGTGACATCACAGAAAAACTGAAAGTAGCACTATGGCTCAAGTGGTAGACACTTGCCTTGAGCTGAAGAGCTAAGAGACAGCACTTAGGCCCAGAGTTCAAGTTCTATGACTGACAAAAAGAAATGAAAAGAAAGGGGGGGGGGGTTAAATAAGCCCAGCACTGGTGGCTCACGCCTATAATCTTAGCTACTCTAGAGGCTGAGATCTGTGGATCTGGGTTTGAAGTCAACTGGACAGAAACATCCCAGGGAGACTCTTAATCTCCAGTAAACTACTCAAAAAATCAGAAATGGCACTGCAGCTTAAATGGTAGAATGCTAGCTTTAAGCACAAAGGGTCTCAAAGACAGCACTCAAGTCCTGTGTTCAAGCCCTAGGACCAGCAAAAGAAAAAAGAAAAGAAAAGAAAACACAAAGTGCATGAAATTCAGGTGCTGTTTACATGTTTATTTTTTTTAAGATAAGAATAGATTGAATAGGAAAGGTTAGGAGATTGGGAGCCAGACACTCAAGATTTAAATTCTGCTATCTCTTGGCCAGGCACTAGTGGTTCTAGCCTGTAATCTAAGGATCTCCTATTCAAAGCCTGCCTAGGCGAGAAAGTCCTCGAATCTCTTATCTCCAGTTAAGCACCAAAATAGCCGGAAGTGGAGCTGTGGCTCCAGTGATAGAGCACTAGTCCCAAACAAAGAAGCTCAGGGACTGGATCCAACCCATGAGTTCAAGCCATAGGATTGGCACATATACATATACACAAAAAATTCTGCTGTCTCTCCTGCTTTCTAAGTATCCTCACTTTATGTAAATTAACTCCTAGTAGTTCTTTGATGGTAAGTTTCATTTTAAAGAAAAACCAAGCGGGGTGCTGGTGGCTCATACCTGTAATCCTAGCTACTAAGGAGGCTGGAATCTGAGGATCAGGGTTCATAGCCAGCCTGGGCAGGAAAGTCCATGAGACTCTTCTCTCCAATTAACGGCCAGAAAATGCTGTGGTGCTATGGCTCAAGTGGTAGGGCACTGGCCTTGAGCTAAAGAGCTGAGAGACAGCGCCCAGGCCTAGAGTTCAAGCCCCACGACCGACAAAAAGAAAAAAAGGAAAGAAAAACCAATAAAGAGAAATAAATGTGAGACAACTCCACAGTCTTATAGCTGATAAAAAACAGAGCTAGGATTTAAGCAGTAGCAGTCTTCTTACTGTGGTTTATTACCCTTACTTCTATTAAATGAATTTGCTTGATATAGATTTTTATGTCCCTATTGTCTCTTCATGTCCCTGCCCCCAGCCTGCCTCTAACAGTGATGTTTGTGGGTTGCTTTGTTAAATATGAGAAGTCCAAGCTTTCCCAAATCCTGAAGCTAAATTTGGCCTAGAAAACCAATTAAAGAGCAAACAAATTCATATTCCAGCATATCTGATTGACATCCATTTTTTTTTCTTACAGATGATTTACCCAGGAAAAGATTACCTCAGCTGTATAAGCCACCCACTCCTGAAATGTTGGCATATCTTGATTTTAGTGTCTCCACAACTGGCATGCTTACAGGAGTAAAGGTAAAGTAGAGTTTCTCACTGAGTGCTAGTAGAATGCCAGGCTGCAATAAATAGAGATGACCACTGTTCCAGGACTTTAGATATAGCAGCCAGCTGGTGGACTAGAGGCTAGTAGGTGGCGGATCAAGAGCCCTTGCTATATTTAAAAAAAAGCATTAGGTCTTCCGGAGTAAGATATCCCAAGGAATTTGTATTATGAAGTATTGGAGCCTAATGTACTGTCAGATAATAAGAGTTGTAGTTAAAGTCAATATGTGCTCATAGGTTCATAGGCCATAAAATTAAGTATTAACTATGAATAGAAATTTATTGCCTAAGTTTAGATTAGATTAAGGGAGTCAAATTTATATATCAGTTGAGTTTGGGGAGTTGAAATCTGTCATAGCTGTCTCTCTGCCTATGAGAGGCCCGTTCCATGCTGGTCCATATTCTTTATTTTGCAGATGTCCCACTCTGCAGTTAATGCTCTTTGTAGAGCCATCAAGCTCCAGTGTGAGTTGTACTCCTCTCGGCAGATTGCCATCTGCCTTGACCCTTACTGTGGACTTGGCTTTGCACTCTGGTGTCTCTGCAGGTAGGGATGGGGAAAAAAAAAAAAAGAACGTATGGCTATACTTTGGGTCTATAATTCTGTCAACCTTTGCTCTCCTAATTGGGTAAAATTTTAGTAAAATGCCATTATTCCTAGTATTTATGTACTTTATCCATTTCTGTTATTTTTCATCTGGTCTATATTTCTTTTTTCCTCTTCTGTCATGTATCATATACAAAATGGCACCGATCCTATCACCTACCTGCTCACTCCTCCATCTTCTACTCTTTGTTTTAGAAACTGATCCAAGTAGAAGGATGATTCTTGGGTGAAATATGACATGCTTTGACAGCCAGAATGTACCCCCTAGGCTTGGCAGGAAGGAACATGATGGGATGGATGACAGCATGTGGCTGGAGAGCAGCATGTTTGTCCTGGTCGATTTACTGGGGAAGGACTAGCAGGTCACTGCTCTTTCCACAGCCTGCAGTTGCATTTTCACCTCCTGGGTAGATAAGATGAATAATGCTTCATCAATGCTGGTAACTCAGCAGCCTGCTTTTTTTTTTTTTTTTTTTGCCAGTTCTGCAGCTTGAACTCTGGGCCTAGGCTTCCCAGAGTTCCTTCCCCCTCACCCCCCTCAATTGAAGGGCTTCAAAGTAGAAATTCAGGCATTATCTTCAACTTCTGCATCTTTATTCAGTTAATTGTTAAGTTCTTTAGTTCGCTTGTTCTTCTACCTTCTGTACAAAAGAATCATTCCTAGATCTTAGGAAAAAACAGTCATGCTGGTGACTCAGCACTTGTAATCCTAGCTACCTAGAAGGCTGAGAATCTGAGAATCACAGTTTGAAGCCAGCCTGGGCAGGCAAATCTAAGAGACTCCAACTAACCAACAAAAAAAACAGAAGTGAAGGTGCAGTCAATTGGTAGAATGCCAGCCTTGAGCAAAGAAAGCAAATGAGAACTCGAGGCCCTTAGCTTAAGCCCCAAATACTGCCCCCTGGGGGGAAAAATTGAAAGGAAGGGAGGGAAGGAGAGAGAAAGAAAAAGAAGAAAAAAGAAAGAAACCCAGCTATTCAAGAGGCTAAGATCTGAGGGGCATAGTTCAAAGCAAGCCCAGGCACAAAAGTCTTAAACTTTTTATCTCCAAGTAATCACCAAAAAGCCAGAAGTAGAGCTATGGTTCAAGTGGCAGGGTGCTCGTCTTGAGCAAAAAAACTAAAGGATAGCACACAGGCCCTGAGTTCAAGCCTCAGTACTAGCACAAAAAAGAAAAGAAAAGTAGATAGATTATTTGTGGTGGAACATGCCTAGATGGTAAAATACAAAGCTAAAGTAGAAGGATTGTGAGTTCAAGGTCAGCCTGAGCTAATGAAAACCCTGTCTCAAAAATAAGTACTAGCCGGGCGCTGGTGACTCACGCCTGTAATCCTAGCTACTCAGGAGGCTGAGATCTGAGGATCGGTTCACAGCCAGCCCGGGCAGGGAAGTCCGTGAGACTCCTATCTCCAATAAACCACCAGAAAACCGGAAGTGGCGCTGTAGCTAAAGTGGTAGGGTGCTTGCCTTGAGCTGAAGAGCTGAGGGACAGCGCCCAGGCCCAGAGTTCAAGCCCCACAACCGACAAAAAAAAAAAAAAAAAAAGTACTTAAGGGGCCGGGAAGGTGGCTCAGTGGTAGAGTGCTTGCATGCATGAGGCCCTGGGTTTGATTGATTCCTCAGCACCACATAAGTAGAAAAAGCCAGAAGTGGCTCTATGGCTCAAGTAGTAAAGCACTACCCTTGAGCTGAAGAGCTGAGGGACAGTGCCCGGGCCTAGAGTTCAAGGCCCACAACCAAAAAAAAAACTAGATACCTTTGTGGTTCATAGTATGATGTTTGGGTTTTCACATTGTTCTGTGAGATGTTCCTCCTTCCTACCTTGTTAACTCAATTGACCTAAAACAGAAAGGTAGTGAAGCATTCAGTTGCCTTACATACTCTGCTTTGTGGCCACTGTTTCTCTTCCTTCTCCCAAACCCCACATCTTCCATTCACTTAGATTCTTCAAGTTCTACTGAATGAAGCCCCTTCCTTTCTCAGTTTGAATGAATTGCTATTTATTCTGTGATCTCAGTATCCTTCATTCATATTTAGTACACTTATTACAGTCTGTTTTATTTTATGGTTACTTTGTCTTGTGAGTTGTGAAAGAACAAGCCTGAGTTTAAGACCTTTGTGTCTAATGTGATTTTTCTGCTGTCTATTCAGTAAATATTTGTTATTTAGTAATGTTCTAAAACATCAAGGTGTCTAGGATGAGTTGATAACATCAGTTTTTGCCTTTCTTTTTTGCAGTGTATATTCAGGTCACCAGTCCATCTTAATTCCTCCTATGGAGTTAGAAAACAACCTTTTCCTCTGGCTTGCTACCGTCAATCAATACAAAATAAGGGATACTTTCTGTTCCTACTCAGTAATGGAGCTTTGCACTAAAGGGCTGGGAAACCAAGTGGAGGTGTTAAAGGTAAGAACCAGCCTCAACAGCTAAGCAGTCTAAGAGGCTTTAAAGATTTGAGCCAGGGCATGCTGATACTGGAGTAGAGGCTAACAGACATGCTTATCTGCCTTTTATCCTTTTCTAGCCAGACAGTTAAGTGGGTATTTTGTAAACCTCAGGAAGTTTAACTCTTCCTCCTTCCTAATTTAGTGCACTGTCAAAGTCTAATCTGATTCTTTGTGGAGGAGAAACTGTCTAGGAAGTTAAATAAAAATGGCCTTAAAATATTGGAGATTGGAGGGTGCCCCAGAGATAATGGTAGTTCATTCATGTGGTATCCATTTATTCTATTTATCATATTTCTGTCATATGAGAAACTCAGAAAATACTGAGTTTTTTTTTTGCCAGTCCTAGGACTTGAACTCGGGGCCTAGGCACTGTCCCTAAGCTTCTTTTGCTCATGGCTAGAGCTCTACCACTTGCGCCACAATGCCTCTTCTAGCTTTTTTTTTTTTTTTTGTCGGTCTTGGTGGATGAACTCTGGGCCTGGGCACTGTCCTTCAGCTCTTCAGCTCAAGACTAGTGCTCTACTTCTTGAGCCATAGCACCACTTCCACCTTTTTCTGCTTATGTGGTGCTAAGGAATCGAATCCAGGGCCTCATGCATGCAAGGCAAGCACGCTACCACTGAGCCACCTTCCCAGCCCATCTTCTGGCTTTTTCTGTGTATGTGGTACTAAGGAATAGAACCCAGGGCTTCATGCATGCTAGACAAGCACTCTACCACTAAGCCACATTCCCAGCCCCTGAATTTTCTTTAGTAGAGAAATAGGATGTCAGGAATGAAAAAGGCCAGGTATGAGAGGCTTACTCCTGTAATCCTAGCAACTAAAGAGGCTGAGCTCTTGAGAATTGAAGTTCAAGGCCAGCCTAGGCAGGAAAGTCTATGAGACTCCAGTCTCCAGTTAACCACCAAAAAAGCTAGAACAGCTGTGGCTCATGTGGTAGAGCTCTAGTCAAAGCTAAGGGAGACTCCCAGGTCCAGCGTTAAAGCCCTAGTCCTGGCACAAAAAAAGAAAAAAATAGAATGAGCAAATTCATCCATAGATAATACTTTCAATACAATACTTGGCATTTTCTTGTTTCCTTTCTGTGTCTGGGGTGAAAAAAAGAGTTTCTTGTTTTCTCCTGATCAAGAGTGAGAGCAGCCGGGCGGTGGTGGTGGCTCACGCCTGTAATCCTAGCTGCTCAGGAGGCTGAGATCTGAGCATCATAGTTCAAAGCCAGCCTGTGCAAGGAAAATCCCTGAGACTTATCTCCAATTAACCAACAGAAAACTGGAAGTGATGCTGTGGCTCAAGGACAGTGCCTAGGCCCAGAGTTTAAGCCCCACAACCAACCAAAAAAAAAAAAGTGTGAGAGCAATGGCCCACCTGTTCTGTTCTCTTCTGATTCCACTAATTTAGCTTCTGGCTCTGTCCTTACAGACAAGAGGAATCAACCTTTCCTGCATCCGGACCTGTGTAGTGGTGGCAGAGGAGCGGCCCCGCATTGCCCTCCAACAGTCCTTCTCCAAGCTCTTTAAAGACATTGGTCTGTCCCCTAGGGCTGTCAGCACCACTTTTGGATCAAGAGTGAATGTAGCAATATGTTTACAGGTGATGTCACGAACTCTTGTTTGCTAACTGACAGAAAAAGAATATGGCCGATTCAGAGCAGGCCAGTCTAGAGTATGTACTTCAAAGTCAGACTCCACAGCTTGAGCTCTGACCCTGCTCACTTGTTGTGAGACGTTAGGCTTGTTTAATTTTCCTGTTCTTCATATCATTTTGTTCATTGATTCTTGCAGATTCACCACTTTACTTGGAGTAGTGCTAGCAGACAGGCACCAGTGTAAATGCTTCTTCCTGATCATGAGGCTGTACTCTGTGCCCATGAGCCAAGAAGCTATCCGAGCTTTATTTGGGTTTTATTTATGTCTGACCTTCTGTCTTTCTGTCAACAAATATAAGACTGTATATCTTTTCTAGTCAGATGGCAACTTTGCCATGTTATTTTTGGTGGGTAAATAACAGGAAAGAGTCTGAGCTTATGCAGTTTCGAGATTACTTAGGCAAAAACAGTCATGGACAAGTCATGGACAAGGTGGCTTAAGTGGGTAGATGGGTAGAGGTGGGTCCTCTGTGACCATGGTCAAGTGACTTTCAGGAGGTGTCATATTTTCACTTTTAACCCCACTGGGGCTCTTTGCCATCAACTGGGGCCATGTTGATTTTGAAAAATCCCTGAGATGCTTTGCTGGCTTACCTCCTTGTAGGTGAAGGGTTAGTAGGTGAGGCCTGTGATGGACACAGGATCTTCCTGTTCTCTGAGTAAAAAGAGGAGAAATAAGAGATTATCAGGTTAGACAAGCTGATTACATTTAAAGGCTTCATCCTTGATTGAAGACGATGAACTTTCAAAATTGAGTGTAGCCAGGCACTGGTGGCTTATGCCTATAATCTAGCTGCTCAGGAGGCTGAGATCTGAGGATCATGGTTCAAAGCCAGCCCGGGCAGGAAAGGCCATGAACTCTTATCTCCAATAAAGTATCAGAAAACCTGAAGTGGCGCTGTGGCTCAAGTGATAGAGCACTCACCTTGAGCTGAAGAGCTGAGGGACAGTGCTCAGGTCGAGTTCAAGCCCCATGACGGACCCCACCTCCCCAAAAATTGAGTACATACTTCACACATATGACTATATTGCTTATTTCTTGATTTGAAAATGTAGAGCATGGAAAGACAGTTTATTTAAATTTTAAATAAATAATTCATTGTTGTTGCTGTTTTTGTTTTTTCCTTTAGGGAACCTCAGGGCCTGATCCAACTACTGTATACGTAGATCTGAAGTCATTAAGACATGACAGGTACGGAGCATCAAGGAGGCTTAATCCCTGCTAGGTTTCCTAAACTAAAGAGTTTTGGCTCTCAAAGCCAGCATTCCCCATATTTTGTTTATGTTTTTATCTTCTAGGAGGGTCCAGGAAAAGAAAAGAAATTTATTTGTATCATTGATATATAATAGGACTTTTACTTCTAAAGAGGAAAGCTTACTTTTCACAGTTGTTGCATTGTTCTTTGATATTAAAATGTATATGTAAAATGTTCCTGTATAAAAATATTTTTTGTGGGCTAGGAAGGTGGCTCAGTGGTAGAGCGCTTGCCTTGCATGCCTGAGGCCCTGGGTTCAATTCCTCAGCACCACATAAGCAAAAAGAAAAAAGCCAGAAGTGGCACTGTGGCTCAAGTGGTAGAGCGCTAGCCTTGAGCTGAAGAGCTGAGGGACAGCGCCCAGGCCCAGAGTTCAGGCCCCACGACTGGACCCAAAAAAAAAATTTGTTGTGTGTGTGTGGCATTTAACATAAGTTAAACTAAAATGGACAATCTCTTTTGAGAGCTTAAAAATAAATGATAAATTAGGCAGGATGAGTTTTTAAAACATAACTTCGTCAGAACCCCATGGGTTAAGCTTGCCTCCCTGGCTTCCTCAGCTGAGAAGGAAATTTTAATTCTGTCCCAACACTTGCTGAAACTCTGCACCTTTTTCCCAGGCTGACAGATGTTGGGGGGGCAGCTCACGCACACACAGATGTTGGGGGGCAGCACGCGCGTGCACACACACACACACACACACACACAACTGCACAGGTGGCGGGTATGTTTTGTGCAGTGTTCTCACCCCGGAGAGATTTGCTCCACACCCCAAGGACATTTGACAATGTCCGGAAAACATTTTTGGTTGTCACAGCAGGAGGTTGCTACTGACATCTAGTGGGTAGAGACCAACAACAAAAAATCATCTAACCTAGACTGTCCCTAGGGCTAAGTCTGAGAAGGCTTGCCCTAGTAAGAGAAGGAGACACCAATTAGAGATTTTGGGGAGGGAGCAGACCTGGAGAAATCATTTTTAGAAATGATTTTTAAAAATTTCTGCATAGCATAAACTAACTACTGTTCCTCTGCAGGGTCCGTCTTGTGGAACGTGGTGCCCCCCAGAGTCTGCTGCTCTCAGAGTCTGGAAAGGTATTTACTTCTGACAGCTAGAAAGGGTGGGCTATACAGAGAAGTGGGCCACCTTAAAGAGGCCTAAGGCCAGATAAAATACTCATATTTAAGGCAAGACTTAAATCTGGTGATAATTCAACAATTTTGGTTTACCCAATATTAATTTCAAATATATGTGGGTATATAGGCAAGAATGCTAGGTTTAGACTTGTTTGCTGTAGGTATGGTTCAGTGGTAGAGTACCTCTCTGCTAGGTACAAAGCCCTGAATTCAAAATTCAGTAGGACTCAAAAAAAAAAAAGGATATTGTTCCTGGGATATGAAATGCCTTGTCCCCAAATAAACTTTATTAATCCTCATAGACTTTTTTTAGTCCAGTGGGTATGGGGTTTTTGTTTGTTTGTTTTGTCTTGTCTTGTGTTTTGATGGTTGTGGGGCTTAAACTCGGGGCCTGGACACTGTTCCTGAGCTCTTGTGCTCAAAGCTAGCACTCCACCACTTTGAGCCACAGAACCACTTCCACTTTTCTGGTGGTTAATTGGAGATAAGAGTCTCACAGACTTTCCTGCCCCAGCTGGCTCTGACCCGCAATCTTCAGATCTCAGCTTCCTGAGTAGCTAGGATTACAGGCGTGAGCCACCAATGTCCATCTTGCATGTTGTTTTTTGTTTTTTTGTTCATTGTAGGGCTTGAACTCTGGGCCTGGGCGCTGTCCCTCAGCTCTTCAGCTCAATGCTAATGCTCTACCACTTGAGCCACAGCGTCACTTCCGGCTTTTTTTGCTTATGTGTGCTGAGGAATCAAACCCAGGGCCTCATGCATGCGAGACAAGCACTCTATCACTGAGCCACCTTCCCAGCCCCTAGCATGTTGTTTTTGACAAATAAAGATCTAGTTCTTCCCAGCTGCTGCTAAGTCACACCTATGATCTCACGAAGCTAGGAGCCAAGGATTAAAGTTTGAAACCAGCTTGGGCACATAAATCTATGAGACTCTTACCTCCAGTTAACCAGCAAAAAACTAAAACTAGTGGTATGCCTCAAGTGGTAGAGCTCCCACTATGAGTGAAAAAAACTAAGCAAGAGTGTGAGGCCTTGAATTCAAGCCACCAATACTGGCACTCGTGTACACACAAGTCAATTTTGTTCTTATAAACATTGAAAGGGAAGCAGGTGCTGGTGACTTACACCTGTAATCCTAGCTACTCAGGAGGCTGAGATCTGAGGATCGTGGTTCAAAGCCAGCCAGAGCAGGGAAGTCTGTGAGACTCTTATCTCTAACCACCTGAAAACTGGAAGTGACACAGTGGTTTAAGTGGTAGAGCACTATGTTCAGCTGAAGAGCTCAGGGACAGCGCCCAGGCCCAGAGTTCAAATACCACGACTAACACCCCCCCCCCAAAAAAAGGAAAGGGAAGCCAAATTAGGGAAGGGATTAAAGATACTGATGAGAGGTAGCCCCATAGGTTAAGATATTCCAGTGGAGGAAGGAGTCAGCCACCCAACAACTCTTCCGAAGATATTTGTTTATAGGTGTGGTCTATTTTACCAGATGTTTTGACCCTCAGTATGTGTTACGTCTGTATAAATGTGTTCCGAGCCTTTTCATCTCTCTGATAACATTTTTACCCGTGTGTTTCAAGGAATAAAGATTATTCTTGCTTTTTTTTTTAAAAAGGTACCTGGTGAGAATGTGGTTTCAATATGTAAAAGGACAGGGAGGTCAGAAGCAGCTAATAAGCGTGATGGCCACCAGTTCCCCCCTTTAATGGGACTATGATTTATGCCTCAAGATCCCTCCTAGAATTTTGAGGGGCAGAGAGAAAATGAGGAAATAAAAGGAATCCTTCTAATACTCTCCAGTAGCTATCAACCCCACCGAGAGCTAACTCCATGCCCTGTGAACTGTTTGGAGGAGGGGATATTTCCTCATCAAGTTTTGGTTTATCATAGGCTGCAATTAGGTACAGAAGTACTACCATGAAGGCTGGGCCCAGAATAAAGGGAGCAAGCAGTCTTTTCTCTTCCTCCAGATTGTAGATATTTGAATCCAGATAATCGTAATGGGGCTTCCCTGAATAACCTCAGACTTTAGAAACCTAAGGAAAACAAAGATTCAAGGGGGCAGGGTACAGAAAGCCAGAGAGGCTTGTCTCTCTTCTTTCTTTTCTTCCGTTCTCTTCTTCTCTCCCACAACTGGGGAGAAGGCTTTGCACAACCTGCTAGATAAACATTGTACCACTTAACCACAACCTAGGCCAAGGCCTTTCTTTTGGTAAGCCTTCAACTTTTCTCTTGGCTAGCATCTGAGCATTTGCTCTTGAGGAAGATCCCAGAACTGTAAGATCTTTGATGATCCCTGGAACTTACCATTCTCTCTCTGTTGCTCTTCAAGGTTGCCTTCTTACAGTTTCTGTAACTCCAAGCTGGCGGGCAGTCCTTCCCCCCTGCTCACATTGTTTGGGAATGAGACATAAGAAAGGAAGGCTGTGTGGTTAAATTGTCCTCCAATATCTCACTGTGATAACCAGTCAGTAATTTCCCATCCCTCTGTAGAGATGGTACACTGGTTCTGTTTCAGTATGAGAGTAAGTCTTACTTCTAGATCTCTTGAACTGAACTGAAGAAGTTTCAGGCTCCGCAGACGCCCTGTTAGGGTGGCCTAACAATATTAGCTGTTTCACTCAGTTCCTGCCTTTCTGCCATTCCCACATCCTTACTAGGTACAGGCACATTGCCTAGAATTCATTAGATCTCATTTATTTGTATTTCTTTCTTGATCCTTAGATTTTACCTGGAGTGAAAGTAGTTATTGTTAATCCTGAGACTAAAGGGCCTGTTGGAGACTCTCACTTAGGAGAGGTAGGTATCATTTTCACTTTTACTTTGCATATTTAGTAGCAAAAGACAAGTGTTCAGCAAAGCATAGTAGTGCACACCTGGAATCTGAATGTCTGGAGGCAGAGGCAGGGGATGGAGAGTTTTGGCCAGCCTAGCTATCTAGTGAGATCTTGTCTCAAAAAAAATAGGATTTTAGGGCTGAGAAGGTGGCTGAGTGGTAGAGTGCTTGCCTTGCACGCATGAGGCCCTGGGTTCAATTCCTCAGCACCACATAAGCAGAAAAAGCCAAAAGTGGCGCTGTGGCCCAAGTGGTAGAGCACTTGCTTTGCATGCCTGAGGCCCTGGGTTCCATTCCTCAGCCACATAAGCAAAAAGAAAAAAAGCCGGAAGTGGCGCTGTGGAATAAAATAAATAAAATAAGATTTTAGAGTTTACATTCTAGAAGCCATTGAAACTGGATTTAGCTTTTTCTCCATTGTAGTATTTACTTTTTCCATAAAGTAGTAGATAGAGATAGACTGCATTAAGAGAAGGTGTAGACTCCCAAACTAGAAATTATTCCAGACTTGTCTACTGCTGTCCCTTTCTTTGGAAAAGAAACTGGACACATGTGCCTCTTTCCCACTTAATTAAAGGCTGGAATTGAAAGTGGCAAAATTTATGCAAAATATTTCCATTTTGAATAGGAATACTCTATTTTTTTGTGTGTGTGTGTCCAGTCGTGGGGCCTGAACTCTGGGCCTGGGCGCTGTCCCTCAGCTCTTCAGCTCAAGGCTAGCGCTCTACCACTTGAGCCACAGCGCTACTTCCGGCTTTTTTCTTTTTGCTTATGTGGTGCTGAGGAATCGAACCGCAGGCATGCAAGGCAAGCGCTCTACCACTGAGCCACCTTCCCAGCCCATGTATAGGAATACTCTGAAAGGTCACTTTTCTCCCCCAAATCTGAGGGATGCTGATCTGAACCCTAAATTGGAGGAGTCTTATAAACATAGGAGCCAGCTGAGCTGGGCTATGCCAGTTACCAGATTTGAAGGTTGCTTAACCTCTCTGGGCCTATTTCCTCATCCATTGATGATAATCAGGTATACCTCACATGGAATAGAATTGTTGTGACAATTTTTTTTTTGGGGGGGGGAGTCAGTTGTAGGGCTAGGTGCTGTCCCTGAGCCTCTTTGTGCTCAAGGCTAGCACTGTACCACTTGAGCCAAGGCACCACTTCATTTTTTTGAATGGTTAATTGGAAATAAGAGTCTCATGGGAATTTTTCTGCCTGTACTGGCTTCGAACCGAGATTCTCAGATCTCACCCTCCTGAGTCGCTAGGATTATAGGCATGAGCCATGGGCACCTGGCTTGTTGTGACAATTTAAATGCATTAATACCTACATCTGCAGTGCAAATAATCAGGATCTCTTAGGTATGTTGTCAGTTATTGTTTACATTGTAAACTGCAATGTTCTGTGGGGTCTCTTTAGAGCTTAGTACCATGGTTATACCAGAAACACAAAAATGGTGCTTTGGAGCCAGGCGCCAGTGGCTCACGCCTATAATCTTAGCTATCAGGAGGTTGAGATCTGAGGATCACGGTTCAAAGCCAGCCCAGGCAGAAAAGTCCGTGAGACTCTTATCTACAATAAAACCACTAGCAAAGTGGAAGTGGTGCTGTGCCTCAAGTGGTAGAGCGCTCACCTTGAGCTGAAGAGCTAAGGGATAGCCCCCAAGCCCAGAGTTCAAGCCCTGTGACAGACCAAAAAAAAAAAAAATGGGCCGGGCGCTGGTGGCTCACGCCTGTAATCCTAGCTACTCAGGAGGCTGAGATCTGAGGATCGCGGTTCAAAGCCAGCCCGGGCAGAAGAGACCGTGAGACTCCTATTTCCAATAAACCACCAGAAAACCGGAAGTGGCGCTGTAGCTCTAGTGGTAGAGCGCTCGCCTTGAGCTGAAGAGCTGAGGGACAGCACCCAGGCCCAGAGTTCAAGCCCCACAACCGACCAAAAAAAATGGTGCTTTGGTGCATCTGTGGGACTGTGGCAGTGGGTTATAAGTGAGCCAGAGCCAGTACAGCCTTTGGTGCCAACCAGCCTGGGTAGAAGCCCTATTTCCTATATTTTTTTGTGGGGGGAGGGTTCCGGTCGTAGGGCCTGAAATCTGGGCCTGGGCACTGTCCCTCAGCTCTTCAGCTCAAGGCTAGTGCTCTACCACTTGAGCCACAGCACCACTTCCGGCTTTTTTCTTTTTGCTTATGTGGTGCTGAAGAATTGAACCCAGGGCCCCGGGCATGCAAGGCAAGGGCTCTACCACTGAGCCACCTTCCCAGCCCCCCTATTTCCTGTATTTTAAAGAGATTACTTGATTCCTCCTTTCTTCACCTATGAAATGGGAATAGCAATATGGTGTCCCATTCTGGGTTGATTTGTTTCCTATTCGGGACACAGTAAATAGTTGGTAAATGTCAGCTTCCATTAATATTGTGGTTGTGTCATTAATATGAAAATGAGCTTTTTAATTTTTTTAACCCAGAAAAATCTTTCCTGAGAGATGTGGATCAACAGAGTCTTCTGTTGCTGGCAGAATGTGACCAGTACCCTTTTCTCGTAGGTCTGGGTAAACAGCCCACATACAGCTAGCGGCTACCACACCATCTACGATAGTGAGACTCTCCAAGCTGATCATTTCAACACTCGCCTCAGTTTTGGGGATGCTGCCCAAACACTGTGGGCCCGGACAGGATATCTTGGGTTCGTCCGCAGGACTGAGCTCACAGCAGCCACTGGAGGTACCTCTCAACCCTGTCCACTCTCCATTCACTTGGTTTCTGTAGCACTCATCGTCTGCCTGCACCTGCCTAAGGAGTATGGAGTGTATGCACATAATTGTTCATTCTTGTGCCTCTTGAACCCATAGAGAATTCATATGCATTTGAAGAAATGATTTGTCCTCTAGGGAGCGTTTGGGAAGGGAAGAACTCAAGACTACTGCATAGCCGGGCACTACTCAGGTGTCTAAGATCTGAGGATCATGGTTCAAATCCAGCCTTCAAGGAAAGTCCACGAGACTCTTATATCCAGTTAACCACAAGAAAACCGGAAGTGGCACTGTGGCTCAAGTGGTAGAGCACTGGCCTTGAGCTGAAGAGCTCAGGGACAACACCCAGGCCCAGAGTTCAAGCCCAATGACCAACCAAAAAAAAAAAAAAAAAGACTACTGTCTATGTTCCCAGATGGGATATTAGAACTGCTGGGCAGCCAGAAAGATGTGTTTGAAGGTGAATTAATACCCCGGGATGAATGAGACGGTCAGTCTGTAGTGGATTCCAAACCCCAAACAAGCTCCTGGGACAGGTCAGGTGTTAAATCTTTTAATTCCTCTTTTACCCCGTCTACCATTTTGGAAGTAGAACAAATGATCCTGAGGGGGATCTTGCTTTCCACAGTGGATACAAGCCTGCTTCTCAGCAAGGTTGTGGTGTAGGATTCCCTCCAGTCATCCTATGCCCAGTTGATTGTCAGCTTCTCTGCTATCTGCCTTTCTTCCTGACTGGCATTAACAGTCTTTGTAAACCGCCCAGCACTAATTGTCATGGGCACTAAAGCACTGATACTAATGGACTATAAAGCTTCAGTTGGGCCACGTCATTCGTCAAGGAGCAGTCAGCACTTTTGTCCAGATTTCTGGACAAGCCAGGTAACACAGTGAAGAAGGCGGTATCTCTAACTAGATGTCCTGGTTTATGGGCGATTCTTGACTGACTGTGAGTAGCTATTTCAACTCTTTGCCTAGAAAATCAAAGCAAGTATATTTCCTGCCTTGTGGAAATGATGGTACATTTAGGTGCCAAGAGAGTACCTAATCCAGAAAGCACTTATTAATTGTTGCCGTATTTCTGCTTTCAGTTATATTATTCTATATGAAGTCTTCCCAGGCAACAGGCACCTAGACCTCCTGATTGTTCTCTCCTGAATGTATCTGCCATATTATCTTACTAAAATTGTCAGAAATCAATCCTTTCCAGAAAATAGGCTGCAAAACACCTTCCTTCTATGCCCTGGCTAGACCAGTGTCCATGGTTTTTTTTGTTTTTGTTTGTTTGGCCAGTCCTAGGGCTTAAACTCTGGACGTGGGCACTATTCTTAAGCTTATTTTGCTCAAGGCTAGCACTCTACCACTTGAGCCACAGAGCCACTTGTGGCTTTATCTGTTTATGTGGTACTGAGGAATCGAACCCAGGGCTTCATCCATGTTAGGCAAGCGCACTACCACTCAGACACATTCCCAGCCCCAGTCTCCATATTCTGTAATCCTATTCCTCACAGCTTCAGTGATGATACCAGATGTGATGTTCATTGTTTCTCAGGTTCAGATCCTCTCTCTCTCTGTTCACCCCCAGCCATAAATTAGCCATATATATGGCTAATTTCTATTTATAAAAGTTCATCTATAGCTTCAGCATTTTCAGGCTTCTCTGCGCCCTCAGGCAGGACTCATGCATGTCCCTTTCCTTGAACCTCATTCGTAGTCCTGCTGCTGCTCTTATTGCCATATGATAGAGTGCCTACTTGTCTTCCCCCTTCCCCGCCCCAACCAGACCTTCAGAGCAGGAAATTGTGTTTGTCATCTTTCTGTACCAAGCACTTAGCACAATTCATGGCACATACTAGTAATGATAGTCTGCCTTCCTGCCTGCCTATCTTCTTTTCATCTCCTTTTCTTTCATTTCCTGTTCTTTTTTTTCTTTCTTTTTTCTTTTGTGCTAGTCCTGGGAACTCAGGGCGTGGATGCTGTCTCTGAACTTTTTTGCTCAAGGCTAGCATGATTTACCACTTGAGCCATAGCTCCACTTACAGCTTTTTGGTAGTTAATTGGAGATAAGAGTCTCATGGACTTTCCTGCCTGGACTAGCTTCAAACCATGATCCTAAGATCTCAGCCTCCTCAGTAGTTAGGATTAAATAGTTACTCTTCTTTTTTTTTTTTTTTAATGCTGGTTCTGGGGCTTGAACTTGGGCCTGGGTGCTGTCCCTGAGCTTCTTTTGCACAAGGCTAGTACTCTATCTCTTGAGCCAAGCTCCACTTCTGACTTTGAGTAGTTTATCAGAGATGAGAATCTCATGGACTTTCTTTCCCCTGGTTGGCATGAACCAGTATCTTCAGATCTTAGCCTTCTGAGTAGCTAGAATTTCAGGCGTAAGCCACTGATGCCCAGCTAAATACCTCTTCTTTTAGTATATAAAATGTACCATGTACCATATTAACTATCTTGTGAGGATTAACTCATATAGTTTCCATGGTAACATTTATTCTTATCCCTTTCTCACGAAGGTAGGTGGCAGGATTCAGGGCCTTATGGAATTGCCAAAAGTCATGCAATTGCTAGGGGTTGGAACCACCTAGTGTAAATCGTTTTCTCTTAACTCCATCATTAGATTGTCGTGAATATATGTCTGAACTCTTATTTCTTTCTGACAGAGCGTCACGATGCATTGTATGTGGTGGGAGCTCTGGATGAAACTCTGGAGCTGAGAGGATTACGATACCACCCGATTGATATTGAGACTTCAGTGTCTCGAATCCACAGGAGCATTGCTGAATGGTAATTGTCCTTATACAGAAACTGCATCCTACCTCAGCTTTAAGTAGTGGCAAAAATCAGTCATCACGCTCTTTGGCCTTTTTACTTACAGTTAGTAGTCTACCACTTCCTCCACTTCTAGCTTTCTGATGATTAATTGTAGATGAGAGTCTCACAGACTTTCCTGCTCAATCTTCATGTTTCAGTCAGACTCTGAGTACCTAACCAGTACTTGGCCTTGCTGAGTTCTTTTTTTGTTCTTGTTCTTGTTTTGTTGTTGTTGGTGGTGGTGGTGGTGGTGGTCATGGGGCTTAACCTGTGTTGTCCCTAAGCTCTTGCTCAAGGCTAGTCTCTGCCACTTTGAGCCACAGTGTCACTTCTGATTTTCTGGTGGTTAATTGGATGTAAGAGTCTCATGGGCTTTTTTACCCAGGCTGGCTCTGAACTGCTATCCTCAGATCTCAGCCTCCTGAGTAACTAGGATTGCAGGCACGAGCCACCCGTGCGAGGCCTGAGTTCTAGATTATACAGAATCCATGTAGTTTCTTTTCTGTGTTTAATTCAGTGTATCCCCAGTTTTTTTTTCTGAACTAAATACCCCCTTTTTTCTCTCTCTCTCTTTCTCTTTGGTAAGAGTACTGAGGCTTAACTTCAAGGCCTTTCACTCTTTTTTTTTCCTGGTTATGGTACTTGAACTCAGGGCCTGGGCTTTTTTCCTCAAGGCTAGTGTTCTACCACTTTGAGCCACAGCACTACTTTCAGTTTTCTTGGGGTTAATTGGAGATTAGTATCACAGACTTTTCTACTTGGGCTGGCTTTGATCCTCAATCTCAGACTCCTGAGTAGCTAGGATCATAGGTGTGAGCCACCGGTGCCTGAATAAGGCCTCCTATTCTTGCTCAGCTTTTTCACTCATGGCTAGCATTTTACCACTTGAGGCATGACCTCCATTTCCAGCATTTTGCTAGTTAATTGAACATAAGAGTGTTGGAGACTATGTGCCTGGGCTAGCTTCAAATTGAGATCCTTAGATCTCAGTCTCTGAGTAGCTAGGATTGTAGGCATGAGCTGCTGGTGCCCAGCCACCACATTTTTTTTTTTTGATGGTTGTTTATTATTTTCAGATATTCTTTTTTTCTAAAGAGGTTCTTGCTTTGTTCAGAGTATCTCCTCTGACCTGAAAAAGGGCTGAACAAGGCAAGAACTCTTTAGAGAAGTATCTAGAAAGCATGTAGGGAAGCTAAGTGCCACTCCCACCTCTAATTTTAGGTATTCAATTTTTATTGGATAAGAGTCTCATAGAGTCAGGCACTAGAGGCTCATACCCATAATCCCAGCTACTCTGAAGGTTGAGATCTGAGAATTATGGTTCCAAACTAGCTGAGACAGGAAAGTCTGTGAGACTTTTATCTAATTATCCAGAATGGAGCTGTGGCTTAAGTGGTAGAGCACTAGCCTTAAGCAAAAATGCTGAGGGACAGTGCTCAAGCCCCAGGACTGACACCAAATACCTCCAGAAAACAAGAATCTCAGGAACTTTCCTGCCTGCGCTGACTTTAAGCCATGATCCTCAGATTTCAGGCTCCTGAGTAATTAGGATTACAGGTGTGAGCCACCAGTGCTGAGCTTTTTTTTTTTGGTGCTGGTTAGCAGGACTTGAACTCAGGACTACCCATGGCTTTTGGAAATAAGAGACTTGAGAGTTTTCTGCCCATACTGGCTTGGAACTTCATCAGTTCTCAGCCTCCTGAGTGGAATCACTTTTTCAAGTGAACTGGGGTTTTTGTTTGTTTGTTTGTTTGTTTTGGGGGGTCTGGTCATGGGGCCTGAACTCTGGGCCTGGGCACTGTCCCTCAGCTCTTCAGCTCAAGGCTAGCGCTCTACCACTTGAGCCACAG